AAAAACACTTCACACTCATGACATTTTTACCATAGAACTTTCAAAACATCATTTCTCTCCAGAATTTTCCAGACCTGTCATGGATATCTTGGTCTCACTGATACAGGAGAGCTATAACAGTGGAAAACACAGCACAATCAAACTGCATCATTCACAAATCGCCAAAGGAAGGAAAAGTGAATGATAAGTAGATATAGTTCAAAGGGTCAAGTTAACTATAAATGTGACCTCATCAAGTTTAGTAAACATTACTTTTAATTTTATTCTGTGTGTGTGGGAGAGAGAGTGATGGGGGATAGAAGGAGAAAAGGAATGAGAGAGAGAGAGAAAAAAGTGAAAGAGAGTGAGAGAATACTCATCGTACATGACACATGTGTGGTGCCATAGGACAAATCTTAGAGACTGAGTCTTAGGTTCTCTTCTGCTATCTTGTGGATCTGGGGATAGAATTCAGGTGGACAGGCTTTTTGCAGAAGTGCTTCTGTCCTCTCAGCTATCTACCATCCCATAAACACTTTAAAATAGGATCTGGAGAGGTGGCTCAGTGCTTACCGGTGTGTACTGCTCCCAGCACCCACATGGTCCTCACAGCCATCTACAACTCTAGCTCTGGCGGCTCCTATTCTGGTCGCTAAGGAGCCCTAGACACACTGGTGCACAGACATACAGACAGGCAAACACAACTACAATAAATCTTTAAAAACATTTTTTTTCCTAAAACATGTTTGATTTTTTTCAAACATCATGTTCTATAATAGAAATGTTTTCAAACTATCCGCTTTGAAGCTCTACAGGCTCGCAGAAGTGAGGTAGCACTTGGAAGTCTTTGTCTTAGAGGAGTGGTACATTTCTATTACAATTGTTAAGACAACACATGTACATTTTATCATTTACATCAAAGAGAGAAGTGGCACATTTCTTCAGTTTGTGTTTATAGTCAGGCTGCTTTTCACTAAATTGTTTGCCTTTTCTTCTTTTTTTTTTTGAGACCCTCACTATGTACCCCTAGCTATCCTTGAATTCACTCTGTAGATCAGACTGGCCTTGAACTCACAGAGATCGGCCTGCCTCTGCCTCCCAAGAGCTAGGATTAAAGGTGTGCACATCAAGCCCAGTTCTCATAATATTCTTTGTGTTTAAAAAAAAATACCTGGACTATCTGAGCAAATAAAAAGTGTCACTTTAGGATGATCGGCTGGGAGGTTATGCGGAACCCCAATACCTGAGTTCTTTGAAGAGCTCCACACTCTGGTGAGTCATCAGGTTGTTCAGCAGCCACTCCAGGCACCTGGGGGGAAAGTGTGGTTAGCTGTTGTAGCTCAAACTGGCAACCCAGTGAGGGCTTACTTATAATTTAGTGAAAAAACCATTAATCATGCTAGGCCATGCTCTAAGTTTTTACCTTAGTAATCTGAAGTTTAGTGTTGTTTTTATCAGTAGTTATTATGGGATAGTCCCTTTCCATTGGTATAATTTCTCATTAAGAAAACTTCATGTTTATGTTAAATCCTTTGTAAAACATGACCTTCGGCACACTCAGAAAATGAGTTTGCAATCTCAAGAGTCAAACTGCCCATACTTGTATCAGTACGCCAGCCTCGGCGCCTGCTCCTGAAGTGGTGGCCACAGCTGTAGGAGCATGTTCCAGCCCCACCGCGTCACAAGGGCAACCCTGAGTGACTTAATGCTTAGAGCGGAAGAAAAGCGTGGCTTCCAAAGTAACAAGTTCCATCACTCTATTCTTTCCCCAACTAATTCTTTATTACATTCTCACAAGACTCCAGAACAACCAAGTTCCCAGAGTGGGATGGGAAGAGGAACAGGAAAAGTGACTCACTTTTTCTTTACAGAGTCTAATCCATAGGTCCCTGCTGATGTATAATAGCCACACACAGTTTTCACATTAATTGTTTCCTTCATTGTCTCACCACATTGTTGTATTAAACCATCCTGCAAATATAAACAAGCACTGGAAAGGTCATTTCACCTGGGAAAATCAGCTCTCATATGTGCTTTCAAATACTTATAAATAAAAACAAATCAAAATAGCAAGGAAGAAAGGAAAGAAAGAAGGGAGGGAGGAAGAAAGGAAGGGAAGGTAGAAGGACAAGAGGGAGAAAGAAAACTCATTAAGTGAAGCAAGCCATGTTTTTTCTAAGTCCAATAGGAATACTGAAAAAGAGCCTAGGAGGTACCCACTAAACACCTGACACTGCAAATGAAATGGGTAGGGAAGGCACCGTGACGGGAGATGCTGTGTATTTCATTTTCCATTTTCTACTCTGACCTTCTGCAATTTCTTCAACAGCATTTTCCTTGTTTTTCCTGCTTTTTTAACTAAGAACTCTTTACACAGTCAGCAAGTGATAGGACGGACTAAAAAAAAAATATGGCTGCATGGAACAATACTCAGTAAAGTTTAAAGCACCATTAATACCCCACAGATGTTTCTAAACAAGTATATGAACTTAAGTAACATACTAAAATTTTAATCTAATGCACCTCCTCCCCAGGCCATCCACTGCAGGTGGGAGATCTGGCCCCTGGGTCATGAGAGTGGGAGAACTAACCTGTCCCTCAGCAGCTACAACACTCAGGAGAGTGGGCCCTGCATCTCACCTGGGCAGCAGTGAAGCTGTCCCTGATGGCGTGGGCGCAAGTGAGTAGGCCCTGAGGGCATTAGGGCAGGAGATCTGGCTCTGCCCCTTGCTGGCTGCGGCACTGGATGAACTAGCTGCTGAGGCAGGGTTGGCGTGGATGCAGGAGAGCTGGGTGGGCTGACCAGCTCAGATACCTCTTAAGTCCAGATCCAGAGCTTTGAGTTGGCCCACCCCAAAATCTACCCCATTCACAAACTGCTAGAGCACGTGGAGCTGGTCCTACAGATCTAAAACTACAGGATCTCCATGACATAGAGGATCAGTGAGGTTCCAGTACTGATACTATAGCAGAAGCAGAGACCTCAAATCAGATCAATGACTCATTGCAATGAACATCTGTAAGCAAACAGGTGTGGAAAAAGGGTATATACTGTGGGACACATTATGACACACCACAGCTTCCACAACAAGATTTTTTTCTTTTGTGTGTGTTGAGGGGGAGGTTGCAAGGGTAGAAGGCAGGTATGAGGGGACAGGGAGATAAGTGGGGCTGGGGTTTATGATGTGAAATTCTCAAAGACCCAATAAAATTTTTTAAAATTTAATTAAAATATTTACATGGGTTTCAAATAAACCACCTTCTATGTACAGAGAGAATACTGTCATTTTTTCATTCAGGATTGTGAAATATATTTATCATGCAACTATATTATTAAATTAGAATTAGTAAGTTATAAAAATAAGGCAGAAAGCAGATTTAGAACAAAACCAAAAGAACCAAAGTTAGAAAATATAGATATTTAAGTATTAGAAAGGTAAAAATATTTGAAAAAGATAATCTCAGCTAGGATAATAAACCAGTAATAACTTTAGATAAATCAGCCTGTCAAACCACATGAGCTTAAGTTAAAGCACAGCACTGACTCACTGGTTTTTAAACTTACCTCAGCACTAGATCCCTCTTTTCCTAACCCTCAACTTCACAGCCCCAGCAGGTCACCCCAACCTCCTCTCTGGAGTCTTTCTTCTGTGTGGTTCTCACTGAACCTTCACCTCGGTGGCATTTGGACACCCGCAATATGTTTGTATCTCTAATGTATTCTTTCTTTCACCTGTTGACCTGAAATAGTCTCCCACTGTTTTAGTGTGGTGTTGGGAACCAATCCCAAGGCCCTGTACATGCAGGTGACGGCCCCACCAGAGCAGCACCCCAGCTCCAGTTAAAACAGACTTCTTCCCCTGATTAGAATCTTCCAGAGGTGCTCACAGGAGGCAAAGTCAAACTTTGTAATGTACAGAGGAAACTTCATGTACTGGCTTTGGCCTCTTTCTCTCTAACCCATTTTATTTCTTGTTTTGTTTCTTGAGATAGGGTCTCCTGTTGTAACTCTGGCTGGCTGTAAGTCACCAGGCTGACTCTGACCTCAGACACTTGCCTGCTTCTGTTTCCCAAGAGCTGGTATTTGAGATGTGTACTACCACACCTGGATTTTTAAATGTTTTATCTACTTATGTTGTATGAATGGTGGGACACACACTTCACAGTGTGCATACAGTGGTCAAAGATAACTGGAGAAGTCAGTTCTCTCCTCCAAATGTGTGCCCTGGGGATGAAACTCCAATTGTGAGGATTGAGAGCAGGCACCCTTACAGGCTCAGCCATCTTGCCAGTTCTCCAATTCAATTTACACTGATGCTAGAAACTCAGTTTCCTTAATTTCTCTAATCCCCCATCTTCTCACATTTTGGGTCTTTCTGTTCCTGGCGTGAAATGCCATTTTGCCCCTCTTCACACAGTGCAAGGTAGGCACACTTCAACCTCAATCTAGAAATAGTGTCCCTTGAGGATGCTAGACTGAACTGGCCCTTCCTGTCTTTACAAGTTTATTAGGACCCCATAAGGTGTTTATGCTGTCTACACTATCAACACTATGTAACTGTCAGGGCCTTTGGGTTTATTTATCCACCTTTCACCCGACCCTCAGTACACTGTGAGCGCCATGAAAGCACACACAGATCAACTGTGTTTAAGGACTACATCTTCATCCTCTCTGGCTCCCTATGCCAAGTCTTACATATTGCACAGTGTGTTCAACGTACAGTTACTGGAAGATGCACGGTTTACACGGGATGACAGAACTAGAAAGCTTAAATAACAAACTGTTTCTTTGACCCAATGAACTAAATTACTGACGATACCACCTGCTTAGCAGGAATACCACTGATGGACAGAACTCTGCAGAGGAATGTGGGCAGCGAACTTTCCCAAATGGCAGCATACCAGGAAGTTACGCAATCTAGCTCCCACCCACTTCACATAGGGACCAAAGCCCCTAAGTCCAACAGCTTTTGGAAAAGCACTTTCAATCATTTCTAACGTTTACACAGTTTGTTTCAAAGACTGCAGAAACAGAATTTCACTTCCGTTTTGGAAGTATACACCAAGATATAACAGGCACTGTGACACTGCGACACTGCTGAGTGGTAGAATACTCACCAACTGCAGCATGCAAGCTGCTGCTAAAATGGCGACGACCCGGCTGGGTTTTATTAAGACGTCATCTCGATAAAGTGATCCAAATGCAACCTGCAGTGCTGAAAGCAAGAGTGCACACACAGAATGAAGTGCATCTGCAGGACTGAGGCTCCTGCAGAAGCAGCAAGGACACTAGATACCTGGAGAATCATGAACTAAAATGGCAGCCACAGTTACTGATGGCATTAATACATAACAGTGCTTGCTGTAAAGGATTCTGCCAACTCCAGCTACATTTTCTGTCTAATTGTAATATAGTCAGTGGTTAGAATTAAGGCACCCTGGAACATAGTTGTGTTAGAACTGCTGAGTAGCTCGATCATTAAATGTAGGCACATGGCCATCAGTCTATGACATTTTCTTTAGGGAGTAGGTAAGGATCTCATTCACTATATACTGAGAACAGTACTCAGGCTTGTCTCCAATTCATAACAATCCTCCTGCCTCAGCCTCCTCAGGGCCAGTATTACAGGTTTGTGTTTAACTCCTGCCATGTCTGTGACCACTCAGGTCCTCTGAGCTGTCTCAGACCGCTCCTTCTCTAATGGTGCTCATGGATGCTCTCCAGTTTGCTTCGTAAACACCTCAAGTTCCTTTGCCTGTAAAGTGGGCCCTGGATTTCTCCACTTGGCTTGTCAAAGCAGATGAGCAGAAGGAGAAGTAGGACAGGAACAGGAGAGGATGGTCTGTGTAGAGGCTCACTACACTGTTCTCACAATCCCTTACTTCCTCCCAAGCCTTGTTTCTTTCAAACTCTGAACAACCTGCTACATCATTTATATGCTTATGCTCCACAAAAGATATTCACACATCATTTATTTTTATTTTTTGGTGTTAAGAGAGCAAACCTCATAGAGGGCAGAAAAGTTCTCTTAACACTTAACCATATCCCAGCCCTCACTACATGCTTTAAAAAGAGTAGTCATACTTTCTATCCCCCATCCTTCATGTCCCAGGCTGACATATTCACAGAGACACATGAGGAGATTGATTGAACTCCTAAGACTAAACAAAGACAGAAGGACAGAACAGATGAGCTATGGAGTGAATTAATATGAAATCTTCACCTTCCAGTATATTACACAACTATTCTCCCTAGCCTGTAAGGCTTGAATATTTATTCTTCATAAAAAACCAGTAAGGTTATACTTTTATGACTTCTATGCAGTAATAATTATGGAGGTCGTACCTTCTATATCAATGTTCTGGTCAGGAATCTCCAGTTCAATAATATTCATGCTGGATTCTTTCCAAGAACCACTGAACATACTAGAAAAGTAGCCAGACTAGAAAAAAAGGTCAATGATTAGCCAGTACTTTGTCTTCCAAATATTTTTTCCATTTCTATCTCCAAGCAACTAACCTAATCAAAGTTAATCTAACATATCATTTTCAAGAGAAAAAGAACATCAACAGGAGAAAGGAAATTAAAATGTTCTATTTCATCATGAAATAGACTGAACTATGTGTTCATTTGATACTGTCACAAAACTAAACCAGATTCTTACACTATCAGAATCCGACACCACATCGCTATGGAACCTGGGCAGCCTTTCCCCAGTCTCAGCAGCCCTTGGGAGTACATATGGCAGCATTTTTTCCAAGCCTGACAGCACACACAGTGGACGTGTGATTCTGTATTCAGAAGAGGCGAGGAAACAAGTCCTCTTCAGACTATTTCCTGTGGCCTCAGCAGCGATTAAGGATCTAGAGAACTCCCGGATTGGACCTAAAAGGATGCACCCCAAAGAAATCCGAGACCAGATTTACTTTTATATAACCACAATGAATCCTGAAGTCTGCATGGGTGAAGTCTATCGTTACCTGCTAGATCCGTTCCTCATAATTAGCACTACAGTACTTTAGAATGGCTCAAGTATCAACTAATTAAAAATTGCATTCCACATCAAAACATAATTAAAATAGAAAAAAAATGTAGTGTTCCCCAGAACTTATGCTTGTCAGTTTGCATCTGGGACTCCAGGACACAGTCAACACTGAATCAGGTGCTCAGATACCTCAGGTCTGACTTGTGTACAGGTTCTCACACTATAAGGCCCTGGAGGTCACTTTTATTGCCTAATACAATGCTGATGTTATGAGATAATCACACTGGGTTTTAGGGGGTGACAAAAGCTCTACATGTCTAGTACACGTGAAAACATCTTTTTCACATATATTTGTAACAGAGTTGTTACAGCTGAGGTTGTGGAACTGCAGATGCGCAGAGCCAGCTGTCCATGATGGCCCATAACAAGGACACAGACGTTTGTTGGCACGGATCTGAGAGTTGAATGCTAATCAACCTGACTTCACAGAGGGCACCTCACCTTCAAGTCAGTAAGAGATTGCTATTTCTTTTAGGGATTCAAAAGAATGGTTCAGTTAAGAGTGGTATTCTAATATATACCCTGGATTATATCCTTTAGGATTTTTTTTAAGAGATCTCGTTCTTAAAATTTTTTCGACTATATTCTTCAAATCAAAATAAACTTGTTCAAAAATAAATTTTAAAGAATTTTAATTAAAATGTGGGAGGAGGGACTAGAAAGATGGCTCCTCAGTTAAGAGAACCTGTTGCCCTTTTTGAGGACTGGAGTTCGGTTCCCTGCACTCACATTAGGCAACACACAACTGCCTGAAACTCTAGCCACAGGAAATCTGACACTCAATTCTGGACTCCACAGGCACTGTGCTCAGTTGCACAAACTCACACACAGACCACATATAAATACATAAAATTTAAATATCAGAAATAAAAGTAAGCCAAAAATTTTAATTAAACATGGAAGGAAAAAATATTTTCCAAACATTTTTCTGGCGTTTTTCAAAAATGCCTCAGAGGGTAAGTTTGCTTCCCAGACTCTTAGGTGGAAGAAGGGAATCAACTCCCACAAGTTTTCTTATGACAATACAGCTACTGTGGCAAGCATGTATAGACACACATAGTAAGTAGTAATAATAAATGTAAACGTTTTTAAAGGAAAAACTGTCTGAGCTCTTAGAGCCACTTGTATTCTATTTTGAAAATTCTGAGTCATTTTGAAGAGTTAAGATGGTGACAAAAACTTGGCACAAAAGTCAAATGGGCACATTGACTAGACGATCTACCTACTTTCGGGAATCGTCTTTTTAACTCCACTGGATTTTCTAGGAAAGGGAATAAGCATGAACTTAACCTTCACTTTCTATAAAGCAACACTTCAGAGAAATGTATTTAAATTGTTATAAAAGAAATTAAATAATCTTAACCTGAACGTTACAGTTCGCCCCAACTCTTCCATTTTTCAGCAAAAGGCACTAAAACAAACTTCTTGACAACAAAGAGGCAATAGTGGGAAGTGTGGCCAAGAATCTCAAAATCTGTCTTGAAGGCTGAAGCCAACTTTCCCTTGCCATGCCCACCATCTTTCCTTCCAGCATACTTCTCTAGGGAAGCTCACTGTGAAATCCAAACAAGCAGCAGAATACACTCCACACAGCCAGGCTTCTTCAAGCAGCTACCTGAGTGCCTAAAGCATCAGGGAAATACTCACTTGACATAAATAGATTTTGTGTAAGCTCCACTCTTCACCTAGAGCACAGATCTTAATGTCACTATTTTCACCATTCAAAAACAACGTTTGATAGATGTATTTAGATGTGCTCTTTAACTTTTTCCTGTTGAGGAAAAAAAAAAACACAAAGTTACATAAGCAAACGGCTCACTAGTGGAACACTAGTATCACCAGGCCCTGTCCAACGCCAGCACACTGAAACATGCATTTCATTGATTTTTCATATGCCACTCAGTCTGATGTTGTTTAGTTTCTGTGAGATCCAACTTCCCCACTGTGTAAATGAGGGGATGTTGAAGAGGCATGTCAACAGAGGTTACACCGGGTACTCTTACTAACAACAGACAGATGAGGCCAAGAAGGGAGACATCTATAGCTACCCTTTACAAGTTGTTGGTTCTAAACCAATTTAAGTTATTTGTTCAATAAACAAAGACAGGTCGGCAATCACACTTTGCTTACTTCCTTGTTTAGAAACCAGTGCTAGGGAAGATTCAATATTGCTGTAGCAAACTGTTATTCAACTATAATCCAATTGGCAGAGTACTTGCCTTGAATGTATAAGGCCCTGGTTCAATTCTCGGCAATACACACACACACACACACACACACACACACACACACACGGGGGGGGGGGAGAGAAAGAGAGACAAAGAGAAAGAAAATAAACTTACATTTAAGCTTATTTTACCAAACTAATCAAAACTAATTTTAAATTCACTGGTTTTCCCCATTAGACAAATGGTTTGCAACCCTAGATCAAAGCTTTTCAAAACTATGCTCAAAGGATAAGCATGTTAGGGGACACAGGTAAGGGCAGAGCCATGAAATACGGACACCCTGTAACTCACCAGAGTACCGCCTATATATCTGCAAATATTTACACTTCTACAGAAGACTTATTTTAGTAGAAGAACTGATTTGTAACAGCTTGGCAACCACGAGGTCGAGGACATGGCTCAGTTGGTAGAGTGCCTGCCTAACACGCACAGAAGGTTCACTCCTCACTACTGCAGAAACCAGGTATGATGGAGCAAGTCTGCACTCCCAGCACTGGGAAGGAAGGCAGTCAGGAGATCAAGGAATTCAGGGCCAGCTTAGACTACATGAAACACTACCTAAAAACAACAACAACAACAACAAAAAAACGTAATTTGAAAAGATTATTTACTTCTGTGAATCTGTACACACGTATGCACACGTGTAGATGCAAGCTTGTGCATGAAGAACACACAAGAATCACTCTCCACTTTTTTGTTTATTTGTTTGAGAGAGGTTTCTCTGTGCAGTCCTGGCTATCCTGGAACTCACTCTATAGACCAGGTTGGTCCTGTACTTGGAAATCCACCTGCCTCTGCCTTCCAAGTGCTAGGACTGAAGGTGTGCACCACCACTGCCTGACTCCACCTGCTCCTTTAAGGCAAGTTCTTTCCCTGAACCTGGAGCTTATGTCTTCTGAGAAGCTGGAGACCAGAAAGACCCCAAGATCCTCCAGACCCTCCCTCCCCACCTTTCCCCTTGTAGTTTCAGGCATGCACAGCACCTGGTTTGTCACATGGGTACTGGGTTCAAATCTGAACTCCAATCCTCACGATAGTGAAGCAAGTGCTCTTAACTGCTGAGCACCTCGCCCACCCAAGCCAGCATATCTTAAAACTTCTGATGACTTCTGATAGCTTTTTTACTAGATTAAATTTTTAAATCTCTGGCCCTGGACAGATGGCTCGGTAGTTAAGAGCACTGGATTGTCTTCAGAGAACGTTGGTCCCAGCACCGGGATGTGTGCCAACAATAGCCTGTAACATCAGTTCCAGGGCATCTGCCGACCTCTTCTGGCCTCCGCAGGTACTACTGCACATACACAGCACCCATACACATAAAAACAGCAAAAACACAACAAAAAATATGTTTGTGCATATAGAAAGGAGATTTATTAGAACAGTTTGCAGGCTATGGTCCAGCTACCAACAATGGTTGTCTACCAACAAAAGGTCCAAGAATACAGTAGCTGTTCAGTCCAAGAGGATGCCCAGAAGGTGTGGCCCAGATTAAAGGTGGATCTTCCTATCTCAAAAGATCTGGATTAATAATGTATCTTTGTCTCAAAAGATCCAGATTAAAAGTGGGTCTTCCCACTTCAAATGACTTAAGAAAAACTCCCTCCCAGGTTTGCTCAGGCCCTTGGGTTTTAGTGAATTCCAGATGTAGTTAAGTTGACAACTAAGAATAGCCTTTCAGTATCAATTACCAATTATGAAAACATCCCACATGCTTTTGGCCAATCTGATCAGACTCCCTTACATCACTGGGCTGTCAATTTGACAGCTGAAACTAACTAGAAATACCACTAAACATAAAAGTTAAGGAAAAGAGAGTGCAAGAGTCCCAGGGGAAACTTATAACACAGGGAAATAGGAATTTTAAAAATACATAAGCACATGTTTGGAATTCTCAAATGACTATGGTTATAGATTGATAATGGGGTACAGTAGCAAAGGATTCCGAATAACGAGAAAGAGCCATTTAAAAACAAGTCTCCGGATTGTCAGGATTCACCAGTTACCAAGATGTCAAAAGATTCATAATTAAAACACACACACACACACACACACACACACACACCTTTCAAAAGTTCAGAGGAGAAAAAAAATATGGTCACCTATAAAGAAAACAGAATTAAGCCAGGCCTAAACTCTTCATCCACGCTTAGGACATAAGACAATGAACCAGTATCATTAAAGGGTTGGTGGGTAAAGATACCTGTTGCCAAGCCTAAGGACCCTAGAAGCTGAAGCTTTTCAGAAGCAGGTTTGTTGAGGTGGGAAAGCACAGTGGACAACCTGACAAGGTAATCAGTACCACCACACAAAATTACAGATGCAAGCATCTTCTTGTGCCTCCAGCTATGCAGTCAGCACCTCCCATTATACACACACACACACTGAATTCTGACATGCATTTCTTTTGTTTCTGTTTTGAAATAGTGTCTTACAGAGTAACCTAGGCTGCCCTTGAACCTGTGCGTTCTGCCCTGACCCAGCCTCCTGAGTGCTGGGATTACAGGCCAGTGTGACTACTATTACAGCACTTTAATAAAGAATAAGAAAAAGGTCTCTTCTCCTTATAGTTTGTCCTTAATAGTTATTTTCCTGTTCTTTGTTAATACAACTTATGGTAAAGTTTCCTTGCTTAGATTGTTTCCTTTTTTAAAATGGACCCTGTCATATATTTCAACAATTACATTAAATATACATGGTCTACATACGCATCAAACGACAAAGACTGTCTTATTGGATTAAAAAACAACAACAACAAGACTTAACTATCTGCTGTACATATACCTACCTTAAATATAAAGACATAAACAAGGGCCAGGCAGATTAATCACTCAATAAATGCTTTTCAAGCACAAAGCCCCAAGCTGAATGCAAAAACAACAACAACAAAACAAACAAAAACAAAACAAAATCCACAAAAAGCCAGGTGGGTTGCCAGCATCTGTAATCCTAATGGAACAGGTGGAGGGATGGAAACAGGCAGATTCTTGGACTTTGCTGACTGGCTAGATTAGCCAATCAGTGACCCTCCAGTTTAGGAAAAAAAGAAAAAAAAAAGGAAAAATAAACAAGACTGTTTTACAAAGGTAAGGTGGAGAGCAATACTGAAAGATTCAGTGTTGACCTCTGGCCTCTACATTCAATCACATCTGTGCATGTGTGCATATGTCAAAAGTGAAAAGATGGTGCTGGGAATATAGCTTGGTAGTAGAATACTTACCTAGAATGGATAAGGCCCTGGGTTATGGGAGAAGTCTGAGGGCTGGTTGTTTTGATGGGATGTGGGATATGGAGAGGATTGAAAAGGTACATCAAACAATTATCAAAAGAAAGTGGGAGTAGCTAAGTCACTAAAACTAAATAAAGATGCACATCTTATGACAACAGGGCCAGTTCACCAAAGAGTTCTAATACTGAGTGCACAAAGGACAGACACTGTGGGGCTAGAGAGGTGTCTCAGGGGTGACAAGCACATACAAAGGACACAAGTATAATTCCCAACACCCATAATGAGGGGATCTCACAACACCCCTGTAACTCCAGCTCCATGGGATCCAACACCCTCTTCTGGACTCTGCAGAAATACGCACAAGCCCACATGTAGACATACACATAAGTAAAAATAAATGTTTTAAAAAAGCCAGGTATTGTACTTGTGGTCATTCTCAGGTTGTGATAGTCTCACAACACTCCTTGGTCCCTCCTTCCTCTTTCTCTCTCCAGGGTCTCTATATACAACCCAGGATGGCCTTGAACTCATTATGTGGTCAACAAGGCTGACCTCCAACTTAAGATCCTACTGTCTCAGCCAGCAGAGTTTGGATGTTACAGGCTTATGCTACCTTGCTGAGCAAAATCTGTGGAACTCTTTTAAGAGGTGGCAGTAATATTTCCATTTCACATATGAAAAAATGAATATATTAGGTGTAGAATGCAGGTAGGCATTCAGAATTGGAGCACATTAGGATGTCCATCTTGTGAATATATTTAGACATAAAACCCTGATGAAAGGGTATATTAATCCAGCCTTTACCTATGACATTTACATGTTAGCGCTACCACCGAGTTCCATCTCTAGTAGTTATACTTTTTATGTCAACAAAAATGCAATGCCCGTGTAGCAAAACATTGAGCAAATTACATCTGTGTGATTCTAACAATGAACTTAAAGAGAGAAAGAGAGAGCGCAAGCAGATTCCTTACATGAAAATACACTCTGGTATACACCGCATCGTCTTCACCGCACCACATTGTCTTCACAGGCAATGGTTTTTCAACTTTTTCCTCAGAAATCTTAACCTACACAGATCACAGCCCACCTCAACAAGCAGACTTTGTTCTTAATTAAGGGGAATGTGCATAACTGCCAATCTTCATCACTGGTCCATCTCAGCGACAACACAGGGAGCTGTCCATCTCAGGCACTATGTTCCTCTCTTTACTGATTTAAGGCTAGTGAAGCACAGCATGTTTTCCTGTGGCTTCCCACTCAGAAAGCAAAGGCCTATTACAGAAGGGCCGCGGAAGCTCTGGCTGGTCCTTTCACAACACTCCGAAAGCTTCTGTTTTAATGGGACCCGCACTGATCCCGGGTCCGCCCTGCGCGCGCCAGCTCCCGCACGGACCCAGCCAGGTCTGTCTGCGGACGCCCAGCTCCCGCACCGACCCCAGATCCGGCCCGCACGCGCTCAGCTCCCACACACCGACCCTCCCCGCGAGGCCGCCCCGCACCCTCCCGTCAAGGGCACTGGTGTCAGGCCCCACAGGTGCGGGGCGCTCGGTACCTGCGCGGCGTGTTCAGCAGGCGCTGTTGCTCGTCGCCCTCGTCCTCGTCCTCGTCCGTCTCGGAGTCCGGGTGGCAGTAGCAGAACGCGCCGCTGCTGCGCTTGCGCTTGCGGCCGCCCGGACAGTAACAGAAGCCGTGGGCCGCATCCTCACCCGCGTCCGACCTGCGGGCCGGTACCCCAGCACCCGGCGTGGGTTCGGGCTGCTCTGTCCGCCCCGCGGGCCGCAGCACCCGGCTGCTCAGAGCGCCCATGGCTCCGGCGCCTAGGGAGCGCCGAGGGGCCGCCCCGCCATGCCCGACGCCCCACCGCCTACTCGGCCGCCGCCTCGCGCGCAGCCCCAACCGTCGCCGCGAACGCAGTCACCTCCATCCTCCGCCCCGCCCGCCGCGCCTCAGCCGGCCGGCTCCGTAAGACCTCGCCCCTTCGTTCTCGCAACAAAGCGCGCGCCGCAGGGCGCATGCGTGCGGCGAGCCTCCGGAAGGGGCGGGGCGGCTGCAGGGCCCTCACGCATGCGCAGGGTGTGGACACCCCACGGGCCGAGCTCAGCCCCGTTGCGTGATATGCTTCCGCGGTTCCGGCGTTAGCCGTGGGGCCTGGGCGCTGTGAGCTTGTGCCGGACGGGTATGGAGACCGCTGTGGTTGCTTCTGCCCGTAAGGTCCAGTCCAGGGGCTTATCCAGCTGTGTGCTGTCAGTGAAAAGACGGACTTGTCATCGTGGCCCTTGCTTCCCTTTTGGGCTCTGGGACCCGACTGGTCTGGCTAGATGCCTTCACCTAGTGGTGTTGACGGGCGTCAGTCTGGAGCCATAGGCAACTCCAGTTTCTGGCTCTCTTCTGCTGCCTTTTGATTTAATAATTATTTTGATGTGTCAAGCTCTCGTATTTCATACTGACCTTCGGATGATCTAGAACTTCTGATCTCCTGTGTCCACCCCTGAAATGCTGGGGGTACAGGCATGTATCACATCGCCCGCCTGGACCTAAAGGGCTGGGATTCGACCCAGGGATTCGTGAATGCTATGTAAGCATTCTACCAAGTGAACTACATCCCTGGCCCCTGATTTCTTTTTTAATTTTTTTTTTTTTTTTTTCAAAAAAGGGTCTCACTCTGAAGCCCAGGCTGCCCTGGAATTCTCAGCAGCCTTCCTGTCTTCGCCTCTGGGTGCTGGCAGGAGTTGAGGTTTGAGCTACCATTCCCACCTTCTATACTTTGCAAAGTAAAATGTTGATAATGTTTCAAACAGAGCAATACAAATAGCTGTGGACCCACTACTGGCTTGGAATTTTATTACACTTATTTTGAGTCTTCTTCTTTCCCCCTTCAGCTTTATTGAGATACAATGGAGAATGCTAAAAATGAGAAAACCCCTTGTATACTTGCCCTGTTTCCACCCTTTCCCTCTCCACGCCATTTCTGTGCTTGTCTTTACATGCACACCCATAAGCACTCTTTCCTGCTGCACATTCAGACATATAATTTAAGTAGGATCAGACCATCCCAAACCTATGATTCAGAACCTTTCTCATCTCTTAAAGCCATAGTTCGAATTAAATCTCTAGTTATTGTCACCACTTATTGTAAGACCCATGATTTACCTACTCCCTCAAGAAGGGCTTCAGTTATGTCTACTTTAATGCTCCTTCATGGACAATATGCACAAAAGCTTTATCAAGCAGATCCCAGAAATGGGCTTTCTGGGAAATTTCCAACTTTATGAGCTCTTGCCAATTTCTTCCCGGAACTGACTGCATCCGAGCACCATTTGCACTCCTTTTCAGCCGCATGTGTACTTTGTAGGCCACCGAGGACTTGTCTTCAGCTCATCTCCGAGAAATTCTGAGGGTACGTAGATGAGGCAGGTTACAGTAGAAGTTGGAGGAAGACAATGGTGATTGCAAGAAAATACACTGGCAGGCACATAATACAAGACATGAGCATGGGGCCTTGGTGTATGCAAGTAGACTGACTATAACACAATGACTTCAAGTGTCACTAAATTCCTAGAAGGTAAAACATACATATTCATCTTGTGTAAGGAACCCTGATTACTGAGGGGACCCACGGAATGTCTGTAAGAACCTGCCACAATTACACAGGAAGTAGCCTCCAGCCACAGAGCAATGGCATTTGGGGAAGAATGTGCCTAATCCTTTTTGGTCTTCTCCCTGATACTCCAGCCCAAGCCAGCTTCCCAGTGACAGCAGGCCAGAACTGACTGAGGAAAGAAGCCTCAAATCACACCTGGAACTTTGACTTACTATGTTAATCACTGAGATAACACTGTTTGGGGACCTTAAGGCGATACAGAGTAGGACTTCTGAAAAGCCAAGAGTGAGCAGAAAAATTGTGACTTTCTACCCTCTAAATTTTCATCCAAAGACAAGAAAAACTCAGCCCACTGAAAGCACTCTGAACTTCCTTTTTAACACTAAGATATCGTTTAAAGGTAACACAGCTACTAAAACCCCAACAAAGAACCTCATAATGCTTCCAAAACACAATGAAGTTGGGGCACAGATTCCACAGTCCTGAGGTGGTAGCGTCAGTTCCTGAGTCTAACTGGAATGACTGGGCACGCAGGCAGTTGGTGGGGATCCCAGCACCAAAGCACAGTCTGCACTGCAGAAAGAACAAAGGGGTATGTGCATGTCTGTTCTTTGTACACTGAAACTTTTGTCCTCTGTGGTGCTGAGAAAATCAGCCTGTAACTCTACCCCACTAAGCTACATTTGTGGCCTTAAATGCAACATTTACTAGAACTGCTCCACCAAACAGAGTCACTCACTGTCAGAGAACAAGCCACCATGTTGTCTAATGTCATTGAATAGGGTTTGACATACATAAGTGTTAGCAATTTTGTTGGGTTTTGTTTGTTACTTTGTTTTGGGGTAAGAGAAGGCTGTCATCCCTTTGCTTGTGTGTGAAGGTCAGGAGGCAACCTGTAGTTGTGTGTCTCCTTCCACCATGTGGGTTCTGGGGATTGAACTCAGGTTGTCAGCCTCGGTTTGTGTGTGTGTGCGTGGAAACCAGAAGTTGACATCACTGTCTTACTCTCCGCATCCTCCTCCTCCTCCTCCTCTTTCTCCTCATCATATCATCATCACCATCATCAAGACAGGGTCTCCCACGGAACCTGAAGCTCACTGATTTGGTACACTGGCTGGCCAGTGAGCCCCTGGGGTCTGTTCCTCTCCACATCCAGCTTTGGGGTTAGAGGCATCCACTCACTGGCCATGCCCAGCTTTCACATGGGTGCCAGGGATCCAAACATCTCTCCTCATGCTTGTGCAGCGAGCATGTTACTCACTGAGCCATCTCCTCAGCCCCTGTTTTGCTTTTCTGAAACAGGGACACATGTGCCCAGCCTATCCTCACAATGGCTATGTAGCCAGGGAGAGCCTGAAGTTCTGATCCTCCTCCCTCCACCTCTCCAACGTAAGTATCCTACAGAAGTAGGCTAACATATGGTTAATGTGTTGTTGTTGTTTTTAATGTTGAAATTCTTATGTTGTAATTCAAGTAGAAACTTCGTAACACAGCTATTTCAAAAATAGTTCCTTCTATGGTTCAGAGTGAAAAAATCCTCTGGTGTGAAAAAGTCAGAGAAAGAATACACATCCCTTTAAAGTTACTATTTTTAATTAAAAATTTCTCATGTTGTATACAAACCAAACTTCATGATTATATGCAAACACAGTTTCTGATTAAGATCAAAACAGCACAGTGGGAATCAAATAAACAGTCTAAAGAGATTATTTTTAGCAGAGAGAGGTCAGCCACAACCCAGAACACCCAGCACCAAACTACCTCAGCTGAGCCTCTCACGCTTGTCCTCAGGTTTTGAGCAAGATTAAGACGGTAACCTCAACACTATGGAATGTTCATTCGCACAAAGTGATAACTAAACAGGAGGGATCTGTTTAGCCACACTTGAAATTGATCTTGTTTGATGAGCTGATGACTTTGCTATGCTTTGTGTGGAGGAAGTGGTACCAGGGCAGGAGGAGACAAAGCTTGCTCCACCAAACTCAGCAACTATCAACTAACGTGATAGGCAAAGCCAAAAGGGGAGGGGCCTTGTCTGGCGTGGCGGTACCCATCTTTAATCCCAGCACTCGGGGAGGCAGCGGCAGGAGGATCTCTGAGTTTGAGGCCAGCATGGTCTACAAAGTGGGTCTAGGACAGCCAAGGCTACATAGAGAAATGCCCCGGGGAAGAAAACTGCTTCTGTCCTGTTAAATTCTTACTGAAAAGAAAATCCAAAAGGATTTAGTGATTTGATCTCTGCAAAACACAGATGGGGAAATAATCTGCTAAAGACATGGGGGCACATTAAAATTTCTAATTCTCAAAACAAAAAAAAAAAAAATTTCTAATTCTCAATCTCCATTTAGGTCTTAAAAGCTTTGAAAGTACAAGCTGACAGCATCAAAATGACTAATTAGAGATAATAATAACACAGTCTGGATCCCAGGAGGCAACTGGAGGCGTTTTAATTGGAAATAAGCATTTGAGATCATGTTAATAGCAGGGCAGAAAAATGAAGTTAAAAAAATCAGTGTTAAGAAGCCTTCTGTCCTGTGTCTTGTTTTAATCATCTCCTCCACAGAGAATGAGCAGAACCTTCCTGTAGTCTCCGGAAGTGTCGCCCTGGGAGAAAGGAGGGCACAGTTACCAGCACATTAGGATGCCCTTAGATGGACCATACAGTTCACAATCACCTACCTTTATTTTGCCAGCCTGGCTGCATTTTCTCAGGTCCTTGACATTTATTTTCAATTGCAAAAGTAATGCTTCTGGCTGGAGAGATAGCGTAGCCACTGAGTGTTCCTTGCTGTCACAGGAAATCTGAGTTTTGTTTTGGGGATCTCTATAACTACAGCTCCAGGGGATCTGATGCCCTCTTCCAGTCTCCTTGGCACTGCACACATGAAGCATGTCTGTCTGTCTATCTAGTAATCTTGTTTAAAAAGTGATATTTGTTCTGTGTAAAAAAAAATACTTAAGAGCATAGGAATCACCCACAGTCTCATGACTTCTGGGTCACTGTTGTTAACATTTTGACATATTCCTCTCCATCCAGTCGATACCTATGTGATAAGAATTATAGTGCCGTATTTGTTTATGTTCTCATTTTGTTCTTTTTATTCTTGGTGGTGCCAGGACCAAACTCTTGCTCATCCCCATACTAGGCAAGTATAGGCAAGTGGTCTACAGATGAGCTGTATACCTAACCTTTGTATCCTGTTTTTTTATACTGATTATAGAACATTTTTCTCCTATAGTCAGATGTCTATGTGGTCTCCAATGTTTCATTATAGCAAACTTTGCTAATGAAGCACCTAGAAGCTGAGTTCTTAGGAACTTTCCTCATAATTTGCTTGAATACATTCTCATAAGATGAAAATTACTAGATTAAAATTGTGGATTTTTCTAATGCTTTTGATATTAATTGCAAAATAGCCTTCTAGAGAGGTCCTATAATTCCTAGTTTGAAATTCTTATGGTCTAATAAATACATTGTGGTTTCCCTTATTATTTATGTATTTCTATTTTTTGGCAGTGAGGATTGAGCCCAGGGCCTGGTGTATATTCCAAGCAAGCAATACCCTCAGCCCAATAAGTCAGTTTGGGTTACTTCCTAATGGCTACTGAAACAGATGGTGTCTCTGACTTTTAGAGTTCAAATTTTAATGTCTGTCAAAATGAATATCACTATATTATTAATTTGTCTCAGTGATCTGTGAAACAATAAGTATTTATTAAAGTCGCTTACTGGTTTAGTATTTTTGTCATAATCTTTTGGAGCTGTCCCAGTTAGGTTCTGCTGCTGTGATAAAGACCATGACCAAAACAACTGGGGAAGAAAAGGTCTGTTTGACCACAATTCATTGAGTGAAGCCAAGGCAGAAACTCAGGACTTTTACTTCACAGGTCAAATCTTAATGAGATGTTTGTTGTGTGGGCAACCCAAGCATCTCATAAATTAGTCTCAGCTTCATGTTTACAAGATTCTCCAGGCTTCTTAAAGAAGAAAAGGGCCAGTTAATGAGGGCCTGTGAGGGGTGAGTCAGTTTTCATCATACCCACGCCATCTTAGAACTCCTGGCATTCTGATACCAAGTAAAGAACAGTAAGCAGATGGGGGATGGGAGGGGTTGCTTTCTTCTATTTCTAGCAGACCAGAACTCAGGCCTGAAGCCCTGAGTTCAATCCTCAGCACGCACACACACACACACACACACCACAAACAAAAAAAAAAATCATCAAAATTTAGCAACTGTGATTACTGTTTGCAAGGGTCTAAGGAAGAAGTTGACTCCCTGGGGAATAGCAACTGTCTGCCTCACAGGTCACAGACTCAGTGTTATGGAAAAGAGGGTGTTCACATGAGAACAGGTGACCAGCTGTGAGGATCTGCCCATTCCTTACAAGGAGCCTTTTTTTTTTTTTCTTTTTTTCACGACAAGGTTTCTCTATATAGCCTTGGCTGTTCTAGACTTGCTTTATAGACCAGACTGGCCTCGAACTCACAGAGATCTGCCTGCCTCTGCCTCGTGAGTGCTGGGATCAAAGGTATGCACCACCCACATCCAGCTACAAGAAGCCTCTTAGGAAATGCATCTTGTGTGAGAAACGCGAAGGTTATAGGAATTTATGGTGGGTTATTTAAGTAGGAATGTCTCCCACACACTCGTGTGTTTGAAAACTTGGTTTGGAGAGGTTATGGAACCTTTAGAGGAAGTATGTCACTAAGAGTGGAGCTGGGAGGTTGTATAGCCTTGGCCCGCTTGCAGTTTGAGCTGTTTCGCTTGCAGTTTGAGCTGTTTCCCCGTGTTCAGATAAGGTGTGACTAGCCAGCTTCCTGCTCCTCCAGCCTCCTGCTGAGCCTTCCCTCCTCGGGAATTAGAAGCCAAAATAAACTATTTCTTTTCTTAAATTGCTTTTGCAGTGACATTCACACAGCAGCAGAAAGTAAATGAATACATACAGCTTACTGGCTGCATTTACGGAAGCCATGTGACAGATCTTGGCGGGAAGAAAGATAATAAAAGCAATTGAGAGCTCAAATAATGGGATGTATGCCAGTTATAGGGTCTTATATATCTCAAAGACCCTAAAGTTTGTAATATCAAATACTGGAGTAAATTCTGTACAGTTATTGTTAACCTACTTACTTTTTTTTTTTCCTTTGTCTTTTATTTTCTGTGTTTGGGTACTTTGCCTATGTCTATGTCTGGCACTAATGCAGGCAGTACCTATGGAGGCCAGAAGAGGGAGTCAGATTCCTAGAACTGGGGTTGCAGTGGTAATGAGCTGTCATGTGGGTGCTGGAAAAAGGTCCGTTCTCTTAACTGCTTATCCCTTAACTCCAGACCCTGACATTGATCCAAACCAACCTTTGGGTAGAAGGATATTTGAGACTGAGTTCGGGGTGATGCTTCCTCTCCACACTCCATGTTGATTTGAATGGGTCAGTTACTTAAAATGTGAGGGCTTGTTATGCTATGCACACTTTGAAAAAAAAAATACTGAATCATCACCCCCAATTTTCATCCTTGTTTGGGTCAACTTGAAATTATTACTGTATTTAGAAGGTAAACACTTCTGGCATATACATCACGAGAAAGGGGGGGTCCCTAGGAATTCCGGAAGCTGAGGGACATCTTCATTGTGAATGACAGATGCCAAGGAGGAGCGAACAGTGGTGCTGCACACCAACACTGGGCCCTGCCTTCCCTTTGGTGACCCACCTTGATGAAAGAGTACAGGGACTTCCCATAGAGCCTCTTGAAGTTTGCCCGGATGTCCAGCATGTCAATCTCTGCTCGAGAAACCATCACTCTGATGAGGGTGCTGTCGTCAGTACCTAAGCCCTGAGGAAGAGAGCACAGTCCTGCATGAGGTGATGCTCTTGGTCCAGCAAGGCAAGGTGAAGTGGTAGAGAGTCTGCTACAGCATCCTTTGCTGTGTGACCTGGGAGGCCTGAGGAACATCCCCATGCCTTACCTTGGGATGCAAGGCTGGACAGCTCACCTCTCCAACACGCTGTGTACTGACCAGAAGATATTGCTCTGCCTTTCCAGGGACAGGCTCTGGGCTGTTCTCATTCACAGTTCTCCTCCCCAACCCATGCGCAAAGCTTCTCAAGGTTCTGCTTAAACATAACAACCTGTCCTTTCTTCTTCCTTCCTTCCTTCCTTCCTTCCTTCCTTCCTTCCTTCCTTCCTTCCTTCCTTC